TATAAATCTTATTAATTTAAAAATTCGAATTTCTAAGAGAACGAAAGGTGCAAATGAATCTTCTCACAATCAGGGGCGCATTTATACTTTCGGAGAATTTAGGCGCAATGTCATTACGAGGCCTCAAACGAAAAAAAACAATTTCAGTTAACCCTTTCGCTACGACGGGTGACTATAGTCTTAAAACATTAAATGGGCAAACCCTTTGAGTGCTGAATACTCCCTGCCGAAGCTCTCCGTATTGCAATCGCTGCGGACGGAATACTTTTTCGCAACTAACAATAATTATTATAATAATTAATACTTTTACACGAAATGAAAACTTTTACACGAAATTAAGTAATGAAAGAACGGGTGGTCCGCGGAACATATTCATCTTATACAGGGTGTTTCATAAAGAGTGTAATGGGGGGTTGCTGGGGTGACTCTGAACAATTTTTTCCTTTACCAAAATATTGGTTGAAGCTTAGTTTTTGAATTATTAACGAAAAACACTGGCCAATCAGAGCGCGCGCAGAGCCTGCGCCCAGGCACGGTAGCGCAGGGTCTCATCCGCGCGCGATCGTGAACAAGCGTACGCGTGAATCTCTGTTCGCCCGTCCCTGAGCGGGGGCTCTACGCGCGCTCTGATTGGCCAGTGTTTTTTGTTAATAATTCAAAAACGAAACTTCAAACAACATTTTGGTCAAGGAAAAAGATGTTCAGAGTCACCCGATCAACCCCCCATTTCCGGGTGTTACACTCTTTACGGGACACCCTGTATAAGGACGCGTTGAATAAGACTAAGCGGAATATATCAGAGAGATTATTAGGAAACGTGTAGTTGGTAAAGACGGACAAGAAAGGAACGAGGAGCCAACGACGGACGGACAAATAAATGTAGTTTCAACATCTGTTTAAATAAATCCTGATAAGTATTATTTTAGACCAGACAACCCTTACATGTAGATCGTAAGTCATTATAGTTACGAAAATGTAAATTAAAAATGCTATGAAAATATGGGAAAAGACCCTAACCTTTTGCATAGCAACGTCGGACCCGCATATAGTAAGCAGAACTGTACAAAAACTGCATCAACTAATGAAGTTCTGACTCATCTCCCGATTTTCACTTTTTCCACTCGCCTGACAATTTCCTCGCGCAAAAACGATTTAGAAAACAGGAAGACACTTTCCAGCAGATTCTCTCTCTAGGAGATTCCAATGTTTTACACGCGTCATTAATCGTACACTAGCAAAAATGTGTGGAACATTACGAAAATTGCAATATTAATAAATGTAAATGATTTTAATTAAAAATGTTTAATCCTTTGCACTGGGTGGTGTTTTTGTTATTGGAAAAATTGCAAAGCTTCTTTGAAATTTTTTAAAACTAACTAACGTATTCTCTATTTCACTGTGGTGAACAAATTTATGGAGGCCCATAGATCTGCTCTCTGTTTTCATTAATTATTTAATGTCGCTTCTCAGTCGCCACTCAAAGGGTGAATTTCAATGGACTTACGTTTTTTCCAAAATGAACAGCTTCGAACCGCGGAAACTTTCAGTATAACCTAATAAAACCAATAAAAAAAAAAAGAAAACAGCACTCAACATGCATCGATTCAACACCGACAGCCACGATACACCACACCACTCACAAGCCTGATTCAATTATTTTTCCTAAGAAAAATTCACGGTAACATTTCTCCCCTTAATCTGTATCCACAACTAGTAAAACCGCATCTACGTAGAACTAAGTGAACGCAACCAGAAAGTGAATAAGCAAGAGGATCCGTTTAGTGCGTATATACCTGAGTGTAGGTCATCCAGCAACATGGCTCCACCTGATTGGAGTCGAGGCCCCAAAAGTCGAGTTCTTCCTCGAACAGAGGCCCGCATACGTCCGTTGGATAGTGAAGTTTCCCGGTGCGATAATAGTTAAGCACCTGAGCGAACACTCCCGGATGCCTGTCGAAGAAGTATTCGTTCAGGATTGGGTCGTAGTTACCGAGAGCCTCGGTCAACTTTGACAGCCTCGTTGCGGGGATCTTCTTCAGGGTCGCCTTGTACGTCTCATGGCGGATACCACCCACGTTTAGGACCACGCGGTTCTCCGAATCCGTGTTTAGAATGCTCATTTTGATCGCGGCTCTGCTATCGCCGGTCCCGACTCAGAGAAACCCACGCGGCCTGCAATCAGAAATAGGAATACAGCAATTTTACTATCGCTTCGATAATTGTGTTAAAGAGACGCATTGTGGTATGCACTTACAAGCATCCTCAGGGGCCGCAGCCGATCTTCCGATGGGCTGCGGTACGGGAATTACGACCCCGAGGTGCCTGAGTGCACGGGCCCGGGGGAGGAGTCACATCCTCCCGCTGGGTCCCGGTGGTGGCGACCCACACGGGGAGGCCCCTCCCTCCCTCTCGGGGGGTCGGGCGGGCACGCCCCAAGTATTTGTGTGGGTCGCCGGGTCTCCCGCCCAGCAGCCCATTGCATGCGGCCCGCGGTGG